GTTCTCAAATTTTTTGAATACAATTTTAATGTATGAATATTCTTTAAATAATCTGTCAAAAAATATTCTTAGTATATAGAAATAATCATAGAATATCAATATGCAGAATTTTAATATGCAACAAATATTCTGGATTAATAATTAGAACCAATAGCTGTGAAGTTATGATGTAATTTTGTCAAAAATTATAAATTATCTTACTATGAATATTGCCTAACAAATTAATAATTGTCAACCAATATACATTTGAATAAAATTTATACAGAACTGACAAAACTGAAATTAAAATGTTTCATATATATTATTTATTAGAATTTTTATAGCTGCCTACAAAATTAGTAAAACTTATCAACAACAAATTGTGCAATATTCCCGATAAGGTACTTATTTATTTCACATGGGTAATACCAATTTGGATGATACTTAGGTTTGATTAAATAGTAAACTAAAATATATCATAAAAAGCATATACTTACCTATCATATATAGTCATAATTTTAATTTGTATAACAATATTATATTACAGAGTAATAATTGTTTCAAATGTAACACGAATGTTGGCGTATGACGTGTTTAGTGTTGACGTCAGTAATGAAAGTAATGAAATAATTCAATTTTCAAGTTTTCAATAACAGAAAAGATGACTTGAATTATATTATTAAATGTCAAACGAGTAATGACGAGTAAAGAGTAAATGATAAATTAGTTTTATTTTTTGTTTAAAAGTTTGAGGTTAACAACATTATTTGGCATATTGGTTTAGATAGGTACTAAGAATGTGTATTATCTATGTTTATCGGCAACCGTTGGGACTTTATTTATAGCTAAGTATTATCATTTGTAACATGGTTTAGGAAGTACTTTCATATTATGATATTGTCACAGATATATTATATATCTATAGATATTGTAATTACTAAACAATGATATTAACCATAAATCGCTAACCATACGTCGATGTGACGAACACTGATAATTTTATTGCTGCTATTTTTAGGTATTTTATCTTATGTCTTTAAACCCCCCTTGTATCTTTCATATATTATGTTCTTAATTTAATTAAAGTTTTTCAATTTATATTTTAAAAAAGAGCAAAAATGTTTTTTTACTAATATTATTTACGATAAAGTTATCCAAAAGTTTAACTATTGTATTTTATTAAATTGTTATTATTTTAATTAATGGTTTATTAAATTTAACCAATTAAAAATCATTAATTGTTCATAATATTTAGAGTATTCGTGCAGGTACCACGATTATTATTTAAACGACTTTGCACGTTCAACGTAATCTTAAGACGTATTGAGGAAGGTAGGTATATTGAAAATAAAAGAGCACTTTACAAGTTACAAATAAAAATGTATATTTTATTTGTACAACTTTAAAAAAATTAAAAAGAATCTAAAACTCCTTGTCGTAAGCTTATTGTGCATAAGTCTACAGTTTCTCTACTAGTGCTAGGTGCTCTACCCGTATTTATGGGTTCTGTCAATGACGTATGGTGGCATGATTATTCTGTATTCTAATTTAACATCCTGTTCATGTCTACTATGCATTTTTATGCATATAGTGAAACCAATTTGTTTCCACTTTTGATCTAGGCTTTACCTATATTAGTTATAATTTATTATATTATATTATAATAACTAGAATAGTAACATGGGATTTGAGTTTCCTACAGTAATAACCTATGAGACGAACATCTGAAAACCTCAAACCACCAAACTTTGAGCAGCTATAATTCGTTAACGGTTAAATGGAAACTAATAATTAAAACGTTAAAATTCATAAAAAAAATAGCCCTATTATTATATGAAATTTAAAATATAGGTTGCTATTGAAAATCAAAAGTTGATAGTGGTTTCACTATTAAATATAACCGCGAAAAAAATAAAATTTTTTATATAACTCTAGAAAGCATAGAACTAAACATTTTGAAACAAAAAAAAAAATAGAAAAAATTCGACACAATATTTTTAAATAATGAGTACAATGTATTAATTTATGGCTCATTAAAAATTTATTAGACCAAATATAACGACGACTTCCATACCGATTAATAGCTATAGGTTATTAAAATTTCACAATAGATAATGAAACAAAATTATTAAGTTTTTTACAAAATTTTAAAATTTTACTTCATTTTCAATTGAAATACCCACAAGATTTAAAAATATGATACAATATCTCTCCGAAGCTGTTCTGACAGCAATTTAAAAGTATTGAAAAACATTTTGTACAATTTTATTTAGTCTGTGTTTAAGCTAAAATTTTTCGGTATTTTATGTTAAGAATTGATTTTTGTTTATATTTACTTTATTGCATTTTAGCGAGGGCTTTTGAAAGATTTTTAAGGGAGCTAAGTCTTTGACTTCCCTAATTTCTGAAATGTACAATATAAAATGTACTCGGTGTTCAATAAAAGATTTCAGTTTCAAAATGATATATAAAATAAAGTATGACATTTATAAAATTGAAACAGTCATCTATACTAAGCAAAACTGTATATTATCAAGTTTTAATTAATTTTTTTTCACAAAAGGTCAAATACTGACGGTTATTATGATGTCGATAGTTAAAATCGTCTTAAATTTTGGTTAATGTACGTCAGCCCTCAAGTTTAATTAAACTGGCGTCTTTTTCGAATTTCCATTTTTATTCTTAGTTCTTAATTTTAGTTCTTAAAGTGTTTTGGTTTAGACAGAAAATCTAGATTCATCTGGTTAATTTATCGACTGTGGAGTCATAATTTTAATCTATGAATTGTAAAGTTCTTCTGATGTACCTATAGTGTTTATAGATTTTGAGATTGCTATAAACACGGTTATAAAGTTTGTTTGTCTTAAAACTAAAATAAAAGAATACTGTTTTCTTTAAGGCGAAATTGGCGAAAAAAGATTCAAGCTCTTAGTTTAGTCAACTCAACAAAAGTTTAAGTCCAGAAAAGAGCAATTTTTTATTTTGCCATTTCTAAGACTTGAAAAAGTTGACAAATGTTTTTTTTTGAAGATTTTATGTCCATAAAATCAAATGAAGAGTTTGCATAGGTAGTTATTTTTTGATTATGTACAAGACATTTATATCTCGCCTAATTTAATTATAATAATAATTAATTTTTAGTTTTGATTTTGCTGGCACTCAATTTACGTACACTTTTTTTCGTGATTCAACTAGGGCTTTTTTTTCTGGGACTCAATTAACCGAGAAAATGTCATTCAGTATCCAATTTATCATTCCTGTGTATTGGGTCAGACGAGGAAGAGTAATTAATATGCAAATTTGTTTATAATGGTTATAGAAAACAATGTGTTACCTATCTATTTGATTGGATATATGCTATTTTTTGTCATTATTCATTCATAGTCCTATATTATAACATTATCTCATGATTATTTTTACAAATATTTTATATTATATTTTTTTGGCTATTTTTTTTTATAATCTTTTTAACTTTTTTTTTTTTTAAATTACTATTTGCTTACCCATTTTTAATTTGAGTAATATTATTATTAATTATTACTATTTGATTTGTACTTGGAAATTGGAATTAGTAAATGAAAAATCGTGTGTGTAAGTATTGAATACTCATGTTAATTTTGCTAGCGTTTTGTTAGTATAAGATTTAATGTGTTGTTTCTGTTTATCAGCAAAAATGTATTCAAGAGATTTAACGATATTGAAAATTGATTGAAAAATTACACGTGTCCTTATTAGCGAGTTTCTATAGAGTTTTCTTTATAATATAAGATACGATTCTAGTTTATTTTATTTTCTTCTTTCATTTATTCAATTATATTGGTTTAATTGTCATTAGATTAATATAAAATAATGTTAACTATAAGACAAAATATTCATTTTTTTTAGACTAATAATATAATAATATGTAAAAATAAAATTGACAATTTTTGGCAACGTGATATGTCTATAGTGTTTCTATAATTTTGTTTCTGTAACTTGAATAAATTACCAACAAGTTGTACACAATTTTATTGTTGATTATTAATTTCTAATTTTAAAGTTGTTAAGCATACAATATCTGAAATAAAATAAAAATACAACTTGATTTTTGATTTTTTATAGTTAGATATGTAAAATTAATATCAAAATTAATATCATGTACACTCGACATACTCCCAATTAAAACTATTATTACTATAATATAATATTCGCATTGACCTATACATTTATTTCTATATTGTTTGATGTGCTTTTTCTTATTATATAAACGAACACGTAAGAAATTTTCTGTGACGAAAAAAAATATCTACCTTTGAAATGTTAGTACGAGTACTTACAGCTCAGTGCACCGCGTTGACGCTTCAATGGACAGTTTTTGGCCTGTTTTATTATTTTTTTTTTTTTAGATTCAATTTCGAGTGAATCGACGAGGAATGTGTTGGTTTTCAGTGATGTTTTATCTTTTTTTTTCTTATTATGTAAGTATTTTTATTTTGTGGACACTTTTTCCGTGTAGCACAAAAGTTCCAAAACTTTATATAAAACGACTGTCTTATATCTAGACGGTACTTTGAAACTTTGAAAGTAGTGTTTTACGATTTATTCAGTGGTCTCGAGAAAAACTTCAAAACCTATAGAACCGTGAAAAATACATAAGCAACTACGATTAGTTAAGAATTGTTAGCTGCGTTCATAATCATTTTTCAAATAGGATGATTTATCATTCCTATCAAATGTTTATATTTGTACAATAACACGATGTGTCAAAATGAGCGATGCAAGACGATTCACCGACCAACACCCGATTCCTGTACTACTTGCATATAGTATATCTTTCTTTTCTGATACATTATCCAGATGAATTAGCACTACGAACACTAATAAATTGTATATAATATACTAACATATCGTAATACCTTCGCATAACTCACACCTTATGAGATCATAAATTCAAAACAGTATACACAAAAAATTATGTGATTCAAACAAAATTTAATATTTTATCGGTGTGTGAAAATGTTTACAAATGTTCGTCGATCGCGTTAGGCGTAGCTGTGATTCGACGGCGACGTTTTAACTTTCATAGACATCACCTTGGCCGAGTGATTATCCCGCACGATTTCTTTAAAGAACTCTTCTTGTTCGCCAGTTATTTTGTTGGCGACGGTCCATGCCGAATATACGAAATCGTACAATGTCTCCATTCCCAACGACGCGGCAATGCTTTGGCTCACCTTGTCGGTGAACACGCCGGCGATCACGTCGATGTCGAACCATCCGTACTCGGGAAGTTGTCTTACCACAACGTTTCTCAGTAATTCCGTACCAATTCCTACCGACAGGATGACATATTAGATGGGGTTTTTTCTCTAAACGTTTAAACGAGTATAATATATTTTAGTGATCACTAGTCTTGTATAGTACCATTGAGTAAAAGCATATTTGAGTAATAAAAATGTGATGAGAACAAAATGTATTTATTTTTATTTCAAAAAATATTTAATGAGTACTCATAATACGTAGGTATTTTAAATACTTTTGAAATTTTGAAAAAGCACTTAAATAAATTTAAAAATACTTTTTCAAAGTGTTTATTTTATAATCAAATTATAATCAAACACAAGTTTATAAATACGTTTTCTTTTTGTTTCTATATATTTTCCATTTTTAATTTAATTACGTAAAATAATAAAAAAAAAAAAAATTTCCAAAAATATAATAATTTTAATAATTGTAGGTACATGATATTTTTTTATGTAACTTTTATCCGCTGAAAATTCAAATAACTTGATATAGGAGTAATTTATAATTGCACCAAATTATAGGATGTAAAAGACACAATAAAATAAATGTTTAACATAAAAACGCTAGAGATTTTTGATTTTTTTTAATAAATTTTGCATGTATAAGGTAATTTTTTTATGATGTACTAGGTACTTATGATTTTAAAAATAATTAAAGTTTTTGAACATTTTTTTTTTACATAAATTGTTAGTAATAAAAATATAAAAATTATATTTTTCACTTTTTTTAACCAAGTTTTTTACTTTTTTGTATGATAACATGCATTTTTTTGGTACGTATAAATTAAATTTTGGACGAGGTAGTTTAAAGTTATAGGTATGCATTTAAAGTTTTGATGAACGGAGTGGAGTTACATAGAGGTTCATCGCCAAATATTGGTTTATTACTTTGCGTCTCTGCTCATCTATGTTTTAAATAATAATTATTAATTTATGGATGTTTGTATTGGGTTTTTAGTTTCCTATTTTTTTTTTTACCAATAATTTTCTAAATTTGTTTAGTAGGCAACAGTGGCATGACTTTTTATTTTATTTTTATGATATTCATTTTTTACATATTGTATTTTAATATTTTTTATTAAAATAATAATACGTATAATCGTTTTAATTAAACACATTCGGTCTTTTAAATGGAAATTTACTTATCTCATCTCTTGTTTTCATAGAGTTAAATAAATCTCGATCGTTATCCAAAGTTTTATTTTCCGTTTATTTGAAGAATTGTAATTGTTTTTTGATATCATTGTATTATTTGGATTATAATAAAATATACGTTGAAATATATTTGCGCATTAATTAACTTTTGATTAAGTTTTAGTTTCATTCATGTATCATGACTATTTTTCATTTTTTTTTTTTAATATACAGAAATTTAATTTAATTTATTTGTAGTTTATTAATTAATTTCATAATTTTTTTGATATATTTTCAGTATAAAATAGCAATATATGATATAAGACTAAAGGATTATAGGGATTAAACATTTAATATTTCTACATTTCATAAATCTTTAAAAAAAAAAAAAAACAACGCAAGAGCTTTATCACATTATTCTGGTACCTATTTTTATTTATATAAATGAAAAAAATACCCATTTGCGTCATTAAATTTAAGTTATCTTGTTTTAAATTATTTAAATTATCTTTCTCGTGTAAATATTTACGTCACTTATTTTTTCATCTTATTTGCTGTAATTCTTGTTGTATTTAAATTAGTTGATTTCTGAAGTCAATAGAGTGGTTGTTAATTGTTATATCCTTTACTCTGTATATTTTAATTACTTAACTTTCATCCTTCTCACTGTTTATATTTAATTGTAGACATTAGATACCTAGTTTTATTTATCAATAATGACTTCACTAATTTTGTTTAACTTATGCTTAATATACTGAAATACCACTTTTTCAATTAAAATTATTATTTCGAATTTCGACTGAATTAAAAGCTTATATTTAAAAATGTACGTATGTTGTTAAATTAAATCCAACAATATGGTAGTTTAATACAATTGATATATTTTATAAATTTTTTTACATATTTTAACACGATAACAAGTTAATAAAAATTCTTATTTTTTTGAATTTATTTTCAATTAATTAGTACTATTTAGTAATATTTTGATGTTTATCCATCAGTTTTATATTTTTTATATTATTGTACGGCGAATGGAAAGTTGCACACAGTATGTTATGTTTATATCATTGTATTTGGTTAGTATTTGTTTCTTTTCCGAAAAGATAATAATGGGCATGATTAAATATTTAGTAAAGATGTTTATAGTTTCTACATAATTTTATATATTATTATATGTACGCGCGTAAATTTAAATTCATTAATAAATAGTGTAAACATGTTATTATTAAGATTTATGTAAAAAAAATAAAATAAATAATGAAAATATGTTATATTGATTGGTTTCTTTTTATCCGAGAACTAATTATTATATTCAATTTTTTTTAAATTTTTAACGACGGTTTCACAAGTAATACTTTCAATATCTTTTGTTTGCTATACAGTCGTTAAATTGAAAGGATAAACAGAAGTATTTTAGGATAATTTTTAACTAGGATTCACTGTGGAAATTATTGTGTTTTTATAATTATTTATGTTTTATGTTTAAAGTATAAACTATACTCGTACATTGTTTTATTAACAAAATCTTCTTAGTTTTTCTTATACTTACTAATAATTTAATTTTACTTTTCAAAGTTTTCAAACGTGTTATCTTCTTAAATATTGTACTATAAACTTTAACATACTGAATTTAATTGAAGTATATACAGTTTACGATTAACAAGATTGATTTAGATGATACTTTTTCATACATTTATTTAATTAGTTATCGAACTATAAACAGGCGAAGCCCACACGATTGAATATTTACTTAGTATTACTAAAACTATTTAAAATTAATTAAGTCCACGTTTTAATACTAAATGTGTCTCGTCGAATTTTGAAAATAATCATTTTCTTTCTTATATTTACAATCTTAGAACTGGTTAAAAAAAAGTACTTTAAGTATTTTCGTAAATTTATTTACTTATAACTTTTATTTAATGGAAATATAAATCAATTTAAAATAAGGTTATAACGAGATGTTTTATTAGAATATAATATTTGACTTTTGATGTACATTAGTAAATTGCAATTTAATAGTCTTTCTACCAAAGTGGGTATTATTTTCTTGTACACCTAAGAGCATTTTGATACGAAATATTCAATTTATCACATGCTAGTAAAATTATATAGCGTTTGTTGTCACACATAACTTGTTTGACGACATATAATTTTTAAATTAGTTATACTATTTACTAAGGGTATAAAAACATAAAAAAAAAATATATGGTAAGTATTAAATTATAATTTAAAATATGTAAGATGTAACTATACCACCAGGAAATAATTTTATGGTATTAAATAACATTTATAAATGTTAAAATGTATTAAAATTATCTTATTAATACCGATTTGGAATTAAATATTAGAATACATGAAAAATAAAGTAAAAGTTAGTAAAATATTAATAAATACAATAAAATGATAATTTTATGATACCTATATTATGATAACTTTAGTACCCGTTTAAAAATATCAACTTGTGAATTTAAATAAATTTAATTATCCACATTTTTTTTTAATGATTTGTGTGATAGATACAAACCTTTATTTCTATATTCGGGAAGCACAAACCACGAATACACTTCTAACATTTTTTCCACATTATTATGTTTATATGCATTACCTCTTTTAGTTAAATAATGTTTAAACTTTTGCACTTCTCTTAATATCGTACCTTCATAAATCTATGAATGAAACAAATACAATAGTTTTTTGAATATCTAACAAAATTTTATAATTAAAATGTCTTATTATTTTTAAAATAGTTTAATTTATAAAAAATAGATATTATGATGAAACGAGTGATAAATTAAATATTTAAGAAAAAAACGACATTTCGATGAAAATTGGAGTATTGTTTTAATAATATAATACAAATGTTGGTAGATTTTTTGAAAATGCTAGAATTTTACATTATTTATAACTACTGAAAAATAAATGTATAATACTTAGATAGTTACGGATATATATATATATACACTTATAATAATTGGAAATGTATGTTTCGAAAATCTATTTATTCTTAATAATATATTTGTTAGAAGTTTTAATTTTACTGTATTCGTGAAAATATTAATTTTATCTTTACTATATATTAACATAGGTAGTTTAAAAAAGTTTACCCTATCTTTGCTGAATTCAGGATCTCTGTTATTTAATTCATTGAATCGGCATATAAGAAATCCGATTAAATTTCCAGTTTTCTGTTCCACAGCAACGGTCGAAAGTGTGTCTTTCATCCAAGTTCGAACTAAGTTCAAGTATTCTTCAACAGATCCATTGTCCGTATACATTTTGCTACTTTGAATTAATGGTTCATCATAGATATAATGTTCCTATTAATTTTTAGAAATTTTGAAATATCATAATTATATATAATTATATTGTAAATTTAGACCAAAGTGAAAAACGTATTTATTGGTTTAACAATATTAGCTATATGTGTTTATTTATTTAAGTTTGAGTTTGTTGTTATCATATTTTTGATAGAATTTTTGCAAAGATAGGAATTATGTATTGGTTTAACAGTCATTTGTATTTTTTTTTTGTGTAGTACTGTTGTTGCTTTTTGGAACAGAAAAATTGCTTAAATCATCATAATTGAGGGTGATTACTGGTAAGAGGTTTAATTTAGTTGGTACAGTGGTGGTTAAAAATTAATAAATCCCAATACTTCCTTTAATGACTGGGAAAAGTCGACAACACAAAAAAAAGAAAAAGAAAGTTATACAGTTTTCTACAAAATTGAATTTGATTTTTGGTTTTAATTCATATAGGAATTTTAAAACTTTATATTATTAAAAACATTCATATTCTGATTTTATATAAATGATATAATTATTAGACACATTAATAATCAATAAACACTCTAAAGCAAAATATATCCTAAGTCTCAGTGTTTTAAAAATTGTCTTTAGTCTCTACTATTAGTATTATTGCTTTAATATATTTTTATTAACAATGAGGTTCAGCGCTCAGACAGCTAACAAAATTCTTTTAAAACATTTACATTTATTTAATTTGGTTTTAAATTCAGTCTCTCATAGTTTAACCAAAATATATTTTTTAAATTATTAGTATACTCCTTGTTAGTTATTTTTGTAACAATACCTTTGTTATGAAAAATCAATATGGGTACTGGCTAACCTTGACAACATTCTTAAAATCAATTTTGGACAATGGTTTTCTTTTTGTATAATTCTAAAAATAATATCTTTACTTTAAATAAGCATGCCTAAATGACGCCATGTATTTATTATTCGCAGTTTTGTTGTCTTCACAAAATTATTATCATACCATTTCCTATTATTTACAGCACATTGATGTACTTCACCATCGGCTAACTAAATTATACAACCATTTTCTAATCCGAGTAACTCATCCTCTATCTTACTTTTCAAACTGAATGGTACTAATCAAAATTTGAGGTGACCCCAGGAGGTTTTATGTTTAAGATAATTTTATTGAATTTGTAATTATCAATCTTATAATTACCTGTACAGTTCTTTAATAACCTATTTACTTTATATTCTGAATAATTTATTTTCTTATTTACAATTTTGAATGTTATGAATTCTCATTTTAGATTTCTGGATTAAATTTTGTTACATTATTGGCTAATTATCATTTATTAAAACAAAAAAAATTACTCTTTATTTATGGACTATAAATATAAATTTATTTTTATTTCACTTCGTTATCATACTTATCAGTTATCACCAATGTAATAAATGCTCTACAAAGTCGAGGTGCATTTATTATTAGTTAATAAAAGCAATCATGTTATTGTTAAAACTAGTCTTATTAATGAAAACTTATCAATTGAATAATAAATAAAACATAACTTATATTACATGGTATAAATTAGAAATATAAATTATTGTAAAAACTTTATCCAGAATTATAGAAATGTAAGAAAATTATATATATAAATGATTTAACTAAAATGATTATTGAACTTAAGATTTTAAATACGAGAAAAAAATAATTGCATTGTTTATATAAATAAAATATAATTTTTTATACATAAATTTTCAAGATTATCAATTTTACTCAGTATTACCTCGATTATTTTAAGTACTTTATCATATCTATTAGATTTTAATTCTTGTATTTCAATTTCATCGTATAATGTGTTCCAAACTCTAGGTGAATCAATTGCCATTTCAATTAAATAGTCATCCTCCCAATTCTGCATTAAAATATTAGGCTCACTTTCAACCATATTGCTGAAAAAGAAACTAAACTAAAAATTAAACTTAAAACATCTATTTTCCCCCAAAAAAAAAAAAATTAAAATATTAAAAAATAAATATAAATAGTATTTATTGATATATTTTGTTGATTTTTAAAAATAATATTAAAACCAGAGTATAAATAATATTATAATACACTATATTTATATAGGTAATTATTACTATTTTAGTATTTTGTTCAAATGATTATATAAATACTGACAAGGTTCAAGTGTTTATCACCTAAAGGATAAAAAATTTAATTTATTCCACCTTCTCATGTACCTACTCGAATAAATTACATTTATTACCTGCGTAATAAAAATATTTCTTTTTTCATGATTAATTTAATTAAACAAAAAAAAATAAATAAATAAATAAATAAATAAATAAATAAATAAAAAATGGTGTTTACATATAAGTTTTGAATAATTGTGAGCGAGGTAAATATATATATATATATGTATTATATGCATTTTATATCTACATGTATTTATTTTACAATTATAAGTAATTTTTAAAGATATTTTTAACTGAAAATTATTTAAAAAAATAAAAAGTGCTTCGATTTCTTCAATTTTTAGAGTAAATTATAGTAGATATTGTTCATAATAAATTAATAATGTTCAAAGAACTATAATAACCAATAGTTATAAAAACCAAAATTAAAAAAAGTCATTAAATAGTATCTATATGAAATATATTATACTTTAACTTTAATAATGTAACTTATTAAAATGTAAAATATAGTTTCATTAATTCATTTTATTTAACTCATATTAATAAAAAGTTGTTATTTTTACTTTTTCGAAATTTGGTTTTTTCTTGATTTCTATTATTAACAGCCATACCATTTGACGCTGGTTGTGATTTTTCTTTATCTTGACATTTATTATTGTTAAAATCCGTTGATAATATGATCTCTACGTACCATGGTCATTATAGATAATATTATATTTGTTTAAGCTCACCAAAAATAGATGTCATTAAATTTGTTATGATTATTACGTATAAGAATGAAAACTAATATAAATAGGCATGAATAAAAAAAGAAAGATTTTTGACAAAATCCTAATCTTGGTATGTCACTAAATTGGTGTCAATATAAATTACATTTATTATATTTAGTACCTACTATGGAAGAATTTAAAAGTTCCTTACAATTTACTTAACTAACAAAAAAATAAAAAAATACATGGAAAAATCGAAAATTTATGCAAAAATAATTTCTTTATTTTATTATTAACAAAAATAGAAAACTGAAGATAGCTAAAATATTCATCAAATATTAATACCAAAAATATTTTGGATCATTTCGAGCAAGTTATAGAAATTGAAATTTTAAGCTTTTTTAGGTATTTTTTCTATAAAATATAATGTAATTTAATTTTTATGCTTTGTTAAAAAACTTGGAAATTTAATACGAGCATCATTCTTTGTTATTACTAGAATTAAAAAACAAAGTTTAGCGTAAAGCCACATTAATTTCCTTTAAGCGTTTGAAGTGATGAGTTATGTGGGGTGAATTTATTTAAAGGATCTTGAAACTTTTCATCAGTACATGAATTATTGATTATATACAATTTAATGACATTTTCAAAATATTTAGATAAATTTTAAGCTATTTACCGGATTCTACGGATTATGATGCGTTGTACGTGGGAATTGACTTATATAAATTTATAACAGTTATATAAAATATTAATTTAAATTTGTGATTATTTTTGGCAAAAATTATTTAAATATACCATATTACTAATATAAATAAAATAAATAGTAAAATAAGCTTAAAAATATATCTTAACCATTTAACAATATAACTTTAAACACTTAAAAATGTCACCAAATTATTATATTAAGATTTTCTATGTATGATAAAATTTTCTTCTTTGACTATTTTGAGGTATTGACATTAGAAAAAATAAAAATTATTTTTAGTTTGTTTTTTATATATTATGTCGATGAGAACGTTCGTAAAGAAACAAAAAGTATGAAAGTAGATTTCAAATAAACTTAATAAAAAATTCAAATATGTTTTTAGAAATGTTATCGGAAATGTATTAGTTATAATTATGCAATTATTCTAGTAATTGTTTTTTTTTTTAAATATAAAAGTATAATAAAAAAATATTAATATTTTTATAAAGCAAAGTGAATGCATGTGTGCTAGCATTCTAGTTTCTTTTAAACTATGGTCAGACATACTAATAATCTAATACGCATAATTTACTTTACACTACAGGCGAGCATGAAATTATTTAGAGAATTGTCTATATTGAACTCCTTAAAAATGGCTGTTGTCGAATTTTTTATCACAGATGTATGAATAAAAATATTCGATGGCTTTTTTTGTTATATTATTGAAATTGATTTAATGTCTATATTATATTTTCTACGAGGGGATGAAAAATGTTCAGAACTTACTACTCGAATACGATTAATAATAAATATAAAAGAAAAATATGCCTACGTAACCTACGCAAAAAAAGAAAATGAATATTTGCAATTTTTTTCTGTCATATTTTGAAAGACATGCAATATGAAACGTATTCAGTATTAACAAGTCTTGAATACCTAATAACAATCATATTATACGATTTGTTATTGACCATAGTATATAGTGGTTTATATATTTTGTAATAAAAACGTAATAAACTACTTAGTTTTATAATAAAATATATGAAATAATTGTTTTAAACACATATAACATAATATTATCGTTGTGTATTGTATTATGTCATAATATATAATATATTTGTTTTATTGGAATAAAATTCAAATTGACTCTGGAGTCAATTTTTCAGCTTCAATATTTTTTCATTGCAAAAATTATGAGTTGACTGTTTAATATTTTTATTCATCTGAGGTGTTAATTATATTGGCCAGTTATTTCTATTAAATTTCGTATATTTAGTTGATTTTAAAATTAATAATAATTAATTTTAAAATAATTAATTAGGAAGACCTTTTAGGAAATACAAAATTAATTAACTAAAAGATGCTTTTTATTTACAGCTTCAAGATGACGACGTGAAATAAATTATTGTTCAGTTTTGTTAACGTTAAAATTATACAATAGTTAATAGTCATTACATATAAATAAATACATATAAATTATAAAGGATTGAATTATTTTTTATAACAAAAATGAATACATTGATTTAAAAAAATTAAAAACACTGTATGTACTTGAAATTTGCATTAAATTTTTATATTAGAATTTTATAAACATGACAACATTTTCAAAATATTTACTCTTTAGCACTATTTATTAGAATTTTCGGGTTTTTTCTATTATTCTACAATAAACTTTTTTTCCCTTGGTCAAAAACTTTGAAATTTTAACAGAAAGTTTTTATTAAATATTATTATAGTTATATAATAGTAATTTATGGGTACAATATTTTTTTGAATCTAAAATGTTAGCAAAGTTTATCAAAATCAAGAAATGTTGTAAGCTGTTATAGTATAGTATTTTGTAGTTGTTAAATTTAAGCCTAGTTATTAAAGAAAAGACTTGAAAATTGAGTATAATGCTACATATAAATAGTTCATAATAAAACTAAAAACTCTAAAAGTTATTTAAACACAATTTTATTTATAGATATTTTAAGTTTAAATTTGGATGAAAATTACATAATTAGATAAGAAAACAATGATGTTAGTTATTTTGTTATAATTCAAAACATTTCAAAACGTTTACGTATACTTATTATGAGTTTTAATAAAAGCAATGACATTTTCAAAATATGAAGATTAATATCACGCTATTGCCTATTTATACTATGAACCTATTCATATTGTTTTATTGTCAGGTGGTACTGACAAAAAAGTTTACAATAATTATATAAATATAATATATATTATTATAATAATTAAACAGTAATACTATGATAAATGTAATGTTTTTGGATTATCAAATTAACTTACCATAATACTAAAACAAATTACTTTAATAGTAGTTTAAGCAAAAAATACGATTTATTATGAAATACTATGAATTTATTATATGAAATATACTAAATATACTTAATACTCATATCATGAAATATACTTAGTGATGTGGGTTGACAGACAGTCTCTGTTCATAATCGTTTTTTGTATATAATGATACAGCACTGAATTCAAATTTAACAGACCCATAAAAGTAATTTACCCGGTTTGGTTTTATGTGTTGAGTTAACAACAATACGAAGTACTCCAAAAAATATTTTATTTCAGAATATGCAATCAAAAATGTCTGTTGTCATTTGAAAAGGTATAAATTAAAAATTAATAACGATTACAATTTGTAAATTTATTTTTTATAACGAGTATAGTCATGTTGACACTTATTAAATTTATCTTTTAATGGTTACTAAGTCATCAATTAATTAATATTTGCACTGTACATATTGATTAAGTTGTTAATTTTATAAATTTAACTTTTATTTTTGTGTAATCTATTATTGCGTCATGAAGTTAACTAAAGGTTATAGTTCATACTTAAAAATTCAAGGTGTCTATTATAGAATTCAATAGTCAATAAAAATATAATTCTTTACGGAAATTAAAAACTTATTTACCAATAATAATTGTACGTTCGTACTTATTGTTACTATTTAGAATATATTGGTCTTTAGTATGTTATCATGGCTATAAGAATATAATTGATATACATACATATATATTAAACAGAAAATTATTCATTGAAGTAAATGGCTTAGAGGTCACTTTGTTTAATGGTAGTGAAGTCTTTTATAGTATCTTCATAATTATGATGTCTTAAAATATTACTTTAAATGCTCAATAGAGCTAAAATATTTAGTCTTTCGTCCAGTATGGAAAACCAGAGTAAATTTTTTATTGATTTTAACTTTGAAAATGACCTTTCTCCACTATTGTTTGTGACCATTAATGAGAGGTACCTTCTCAAAGCGACTTCAATATTAAGAAAACAATCGCTGTTTGAACAGCGAAAAACGTTTTTTTTCAAAAGGATGTAATACAT